TACGACCTTGTTCTGCTACTTTTTGTTGCGTTTTACGAAACTTTCAATAAAACGCAAAGGTAATTAAAGTCGTCTACAATGTCTAAATGGACACAATGAAACGTCACGAAGTTTCTGCAACAATGATCATGTCAACAGCGTACATTATTAAGAAAAAAATGAGTAACTTAATTTCAAAAGATGTACAATTTTTCTTCTAAAAATTGCATTTCACAATCATTGACATATAAGGAAAATAAAATTGGCGATTTAAAAATTGAAAGAAGCATTGTTAGTAAAATTCCATTTCGAATTGAAATACTGTTTTAATGTATACATGTTTATTCTGCTTACGTATTAAGGTTTAGTTGGCTAAATGATCTAAACATGACAAAGAAAGTAACAATTCCTTACGTTCAATTTAGGGAAAATGCTATAAATGAAACAATTTCATAAAAGAAATGAGACATTGCAAAATGCTTCCATATTTCTTATATATCACATTTTACTTACAGGTACATATCTTGTAAAAAATATTTGCTTTGTTTTGTATCTTTAATAGGATACCATCTTCATTGAACTTATTAAACCTTCAAATTCACTTTATCTTTAGACTTGAAGTCTTAGACCAATAAATGTGTGTTTCAATCTACACTTAACGGTCCTAAAATTATGCGTATAAAATGAAAACACAGGTTATGATTGGCAACATTATAAAGATCTTAAACGCTCCGATTTAGCTTTAGAATCGCGTCTTAATTAAGACATCTTGATCCAATCTTCATCCAAAACGCAAAATGTCTCGATAATAGAATGGACAGAATACTGGACATTTACCCACGACAGTGTATCTAAGAAACCTTATGATTTGCTTACGTCACACATCTAAAGCACTCACATCTAATCATTCATAATAATAAGTAACTCCTCCTTGTCTTCCGATTCCTTCTGTAGTTTCCTCCTCCTCTTCCTGCCAGGGGGTTGGTGAGTATTTGTATAATCTTGGATTTCGGTATCCGATGCCTCCGCCTCAACACCAACCTCTGTTTCACCATCAACCCCCATTTCCCTATCAGCGTTGTGCGTTTGTGCTGACAAGTAGAATGTGTTTTCGTTCCTCGTTTGTTCATCCATCGTAGCAGGGTATTCTAATTTCTGTTAAATTAAAAATATCTTACAGAACCGAAATCTACTATGTCCAGAAGAAATGATTATGCGTTAGGTGAAATTTAAGATTATTATGTGATGCAAGTATAAGAGTATAGGAATACAAGTATAGAGTAAAGGAAACAACCTTCTGTCCAAACTGTGTTCGTCACATCCTACGACTGCTACTACCCTAATGAACATAACTAAACAAACGTCGTATAGTGATTTTGTACAGTTAATACAAAACTGTTAGAAATAACATCTATCAAATGTAGCTCGTGTCCAATATTCTAAAAATACCTTCCTGTCTTGCTTTTCCCTTCTCGCTCTCCTACGTTCCTCCCTAGCTGCAGTTTCTGTCCTTATATTTATATGTTCTTGTTCCTGCCCGACGTCAGATGTGCCCTGGGGAATATCATACAACAATGTACCATGGAACAGGTGCTCCTTTCAATAACTCAAAATATCTGATGAGTATGTAACTTTTGTATGACATACCGTAAAAATGAATACATCTAATATGCAATATATTGTTGATATTGGGACAAAGAAAATAACTCTAACCCATGTTTTCCCAACAACCATTGAACACTAATGCCAACATAGAATAAAACTAAACTTAAGTCGTTGATGAAATTGGTACAGTCAATTAAAAAACGAACTAACTTTAGAAACAACCAGATTTAATTTCCAATATTATCATATACCTTCATGACTCGCTTTTCCTTTTTCTTTCTCTTTTTACGTTCCTTCCTAGCTGTAGTTTCATTGCTGATCATTAAGTTGGCTTGTTCCTGCTCTTGCTCGATGTCAGATTCGCCCTTATTCTGCTCCTTCAATTCCTACAATGTACAACCATACCAGTACTCGTTTAGGGCGGAAAGTTGTACGACCCGATAGAGCTCCTCCTAAAACCATACCAGTACTCGTTAAGTTCAGCTAGTTATACCACCCGACAGAGCTCCGAGAGGACTTTCTGAAACAATGCCAGTGTTCGTTAAAGGAAGATAGTTATACAGCCTGAGAGAGCCCTCCTAAAACCATGCATTGACTTGTTAAGGATGGGAAGTTATACGACATCAGATAGCTCCTCCTATAACCATGCCAGTCCTCGTTAAGGGGTAGGTACACGATCCGAGACAGCTCCTGTTACCACAATATTTGCTCTCGAAAAGAACAGCTACTTTAATGTGAGTTTGGGCAGGTCATTATAAAATCATACTAATACAAACTAAAAGGTTAAAGGCTGCTCCTTAAATACGAAATGAACTGCTCCCCCTTTTCCTCCAACAATGTTACAACTCGTAAAGAGGAATATAACATATTTAAGCGAGCTAAGACAGAGTCTCCTCCCAAAGTCATACCAGAACTCGTACAAGGAGTATATTAACAACAAGCTGGGGTGGACCTCCACAGCCATATTATTACTTGCAAAGAGGTAAGCTACATATATAGCAGCTTGGACGACTCCTCCATCGCCCATACCATACAAGAGAAGTTCTTTGTTTATTGTCAGAGAAAACCGAGATTTGCTTTGACAAGTTTAAATGATATATCGTATGAGTTATCGAAAAAGTATTATTATTATTTTATTTGCGTATCCTGAGTCATCCAAAATTCAGAAATTAATATATTCACCATTTCAGTATAGTGTTACTATTTAAACTATTGTAGCAATTGTATAGAGCGAAAGAAAAAATTCTCAAAACAGATCGTTTTCACCACATCCTCCGTACACCTATACCCAAATGTACAAAGTATTCAAACATAAATGGAAACATACATAGTTTGCGATCATTATTCTACCATATACCTTTCTCTCTCTCTCACGCTTTTCCTGTTTCTTATTCCCACGTTTTTTTTTAGATTTAGTTTCGTGGTCTGTCATCATGTGTGCTTGCTCGTCTACTTTCTCTAGGTTAGGGGTGAACTGGGGCGCTTCCTCGACCTGCAACATAACAAGAATTCGTAATGAGAAAGTTAGCTATGATCGTGTCGGTGTCGGCCAGCCTTCTCAGAAACGGGGCGCGGAGTCCCAGGTTTAAATATACGCTGGAACATGTGAGCTTTATCCGTTTTCTCCTCAGTTTCGTTAATCTGGATTGCAATAGAACAAAATGAATTTATTGAGATTTGATATATTATGTTTTAAATTACGAATTTAAAATGAAAAATTGCATTCATATACTGTTCACAATAATGTTTGATTTCAGGACCTGATCTGAGGTTTGTATAGGTGGTAG